TTTAGGTTAAGGGTTAGGTTTAGGTTTAGGTTAGGGGTTAGGTTTAGGGTTAGGTTTCGGGGGGTTAGGTTTAGGTTTAGGAGTTAATTTTAGCTTTAGTGCTCACAGCGTGCTTCTTTCGTCGCGCTGTGATGACGTCACGTACGCGGTTTCATCAAGCGCGCTTTAGTCGACCGCGGTTTTGTGGTGGAACCCTCTGTCCCATGGGTCACTCTATGCTTTGCTTGACTTGCACAGTTACTTAACAACTGCAATGGGGAGAGTGGGATTTGTGGTTATTAAGCAAGGCAATCATGTACACATCTCGGTTAATGACTGCCAGAACTTACGGCGTTAATTCTGGGTTCAATTATGGTCATAAATCAAGGATTACCTCTAATTTGGGTTCCAAATTCTGGCATTCATTAACCGAGATGTGTACATGATTGCCTTGCTTAATAACCACAAACCCCACTCTCCCCATTGCAGTTGTTAAGTAACTGTGCGAGTCAAGCAAAGCATAGAGTGCCCCATGGGATAGAGAAGCTCAGGAAGGCCTAGTGCAGGCCCAGGTCCAAATAGTATCTCCCCCACTCAGATGCAGCTTGATCCAGGCCTCCCTTCTCAAGCCTCCATGAACAAAATAATTTTTCAAACCCAGCATTGGAAAGTGCTGAGAATATATCTGAGCCATATCCATTCAGATGTTTTTCTCTTGTGAATCTTTCTTTTATTTTTATTATTTTTATTTTATTTTATTCAGAATACAATGCTTTTTTCAATCCTAACTGATCACATATTATTAATTATTCTGATGTAACTGGACAGGTGACTTTTCCTTACCCAATCAAAATATTCTTTAGTACTTTTTTATTATGCAAACTATAAAAGGGAAGGTGTGATTTCCCCCCTTTGTTCTTTCTCTTGAAATCAATCACATAGAGAAACCTTTTAAATAGAAACATTCAAATTAAATCATAAATCAAATGGCTCTGTGTCATAACTGGGGTCTAGCACTTATCCAGAAGTCACACTTGGCCAACAGTCCTTCCTCCAAAATGGCATCCACTTCAAGGACAGCACCACCCAACTTCTGTGTAGGAAGGCCTTGTGGTGGATTAGCCACTTCTTTCCCAATCTCTGAGATCGCTTTGAGAAAGAGAAATGGCTAATCAGCCATGCAGTCTTCCTATTCAGTGGCTGTGAAGTATCCATATCCTGGAAAAAATGCCATTTTGGAAGCTGCTGAAATTCTTACAATTTGAGAATTGCAGCCACTCCCCAAATGCCACCCACTTCAAGGAAGGCTGCATGGTGGATCAGCCACTTCTCCTTTCTAAAGGTAATCTGAAAATATAAGCAAGGTATGATGGGAGGGGGACAAGGCCGAAGGGTATGGGATCTAGTGGGGTTGGAAGCAGGCCCAAGGCTTTGGAGACTGAGTCAGGTGGGAGACAGCTCCAGGGACCCAACAAGGTGAGATGGAGGAGAAGATAGGCGATAGGAAGCAACTGCACTGTCCCTGTGGATTGATTGTCAGTGCCCAAATGTTATGTGTGTCACTGCAGGGGCATTCCTAACTTCAGGTACAGGTCATAGGTCCCATCATTCAGTACTGTTACAATTTCAAACAGCAACTGAACAAATTGTTGAAAGTTGAGCACTAGGTGTAAATTTAAATACGGTATTCATATGATTTAATTTAAAGATTCATGCAGTTGCTTTAAAAAGATTGCAGATAGCAATAGATTGATCTATGCATCTATCATATGGACATGTCTATCGCTAAACAACCTTTGATTACAGAACTGCATATGATTATACAATAAGCAGAGCAACAACCGAGACTTCAGTCCTATATTTAGCTGTTACACATCAACACAATTTGGACAGGAGGAAGGGTAACTTAATTTTTCTGTAAAAGTACCATTAACAACTATTTTAGTGTACTAGATTGTTAAATTCTAATACTCCCAATATTTTTCATTTTTCTATATAGAAAGTACATATTACTCTTAGCCAATGTATACCTTTTCAAGAATATCCTTGGATTCTTTGGTAATCCAACGTGGATAATGAGGAGTATCTACTCGTATTGATTCAAATAACTCATCTTCATCATCACCATGGAAAGGAGATTGTCCAATCAGCATCTCATACAACAAAACTCCAAATGACCACCAGTCTACAGAAAATGTATATTTGAGGCCTTGCAAGATCTGTGGCAAATATAAGAAAAGACACAAACATGAAATGCAGCCAAAGGCCTCATACATGCATGTGTGTGTGTGTGTGTGTGTGTGTGTGTGTGTGGTTTACTCCCCTCCATAATTAGAAGGATCAGCAATAGTAATGCCACCCTCTGATGTGATAACTGAATTCAAATGTAACGAACATGCTAGAAACACGCTANGAAAGCACCACCCACATGAATAAAGTACAAATAAAGCCATCAACCCAGTTTATACCAGTTTCCTCACTTATCCTCTAGCCCAGCACTCTTTAGATTCTTCAGTCAATACAGCAAAACTCCTTTGCAATTCAAAATAGCATTTGCATAGTGCCAACATGACAGAAGAATTGGCACCCACTGGCTGCTGCCTGGGACACATTCCAGACAAGCCCAGGTGGGAGAGAGAAAAGATCGGAAAAGTCCAAAGCCAAAATAATGTTCTAGCAAAGAAGATTCTTATAATTCTTTATCCAATCCCACAAGACTTCAATTAAGCTGACTAGCCTTTGGCAGAAATGTCTTACAAAGCCACACTAATTCTTGGATAAAAGTGCAGCACAATCTACCTGAAAAGCATTAAACCAAAATCAATTCAAGTTTAAAACCACAGCAATTGAACTGATCTGTTCTGAACAGTTATGAAAATGATTATTGGCTCTTTATATACTTAAGAAATTACTTCTAAATAAAGTAACAAAATTATTATTAAAATAAAAATATGCATATGCTACTATTTAAAAGTGTATTTAATTTTTTAAAAAGAATTAATACAAAATATTGGTTGTATTCCTGTACTGAATATATTATATATATTTAAATATTTCTAAACTGTATGTCATGCTATGCTCCAGGCAGTGAATAACATTAAAAATCTACAATGTAAAATACAATGTAACATATAAATCTGAGGCTGCGACTAGTGGAATTGTATCCTCAGAAGATGTCAATTATCCAGTTGAATTAAAACTAGTACTGGAATTTCACAGAATACACGCCTGAGCAGAAAAAAAAATCCATTCTGGTTGATGGAAAAATAGTATCTACAAGAAGGAGCTATTCAGAATGAAAAGATACAGTTTCTTTTTACCTGGCATATCTGCACGAAAACCTTTAGGCTTCTTGTCAAAATCCTGATAAATTCCAACACTTTCTACTGACCCTGAATCAGATTTTCTGGTAGATTTCTGGAAAGAAATATATACTCCAATTATTTTAATATCAACATATATGATTATTTTTCATATAGCTATGACCAAATGTTTAAGTAAGTATCGATACTGACATTAGCAAACTAAGGGAAGCTTTCCCTTTCATTATAAGTTTCTATTTCTTATCTTTAACAAATAATAATGGGAGGATTTTATTTTCATAGATAACAAACTTCACAGATTTCTTATTTCTTATCTTGATTATTATTTATCAAGTGATAATTTAGAATAGGAAACAAATAAATAGCTAATATAGATATGAGCAAAGTTATCACAATTCTGCAATGTATATAAAATGGGAAGATTTTTAAAAAAATCATCATCATTATTATTACATGCAAAGCATTAAGGTTCACATGAAAGCAACATTTATAATATAGCATTATCATTTGGAATTCAAAATTGGATTTATTTATAGATTTAAATGTATATGTGAGGAAACAATACATACCTGACTAACTTGATTTAAAGCTTCTGCCAATAATTTCTGATTGATTCCACATAGATTTGCTACTTTCTTTTGACATTTATGGTGCACATTCATTCCACACTCTAAAGAAAACAGTTCATTATTGATAAAAAGTAACAAATCAACAATCTAGTATTTTTACCAATGATAAACTGGAAGTGATTACCTTGTTGTGTTCTTTAACTGAACCCAAATATTCAAATTTTCTCTTTCTACTTTTGGTTTAAAAAGAAAAAAAAGAACTTGCTAAACCATCCCCAGCTCCCACAAAAAGTTTTGGTTTTGAGAATATTTGTGTGTTTTTAGTTATAAATACTTCTGCAAGTTGTCTAGTCTAATAAAATCATATATATTTCATACTCCAGAAAATGCATTTATTAATCTGATTTGTATCCTGCCTTTCATATATTTTTGTTTGTTGCTTTCTATTTTAAACTTTTAATGATTGAAAATGAATACTGTACCTTCACATTTTAATCCTTGTTTTACTAGTCCCCAGAGAAGACTTCCGCAATGGTCGCAGAAAGTAGGGCTCATATAATTATAAACTTTGAACCTGTGAGGCATATCAATATGAAAGCGCTCCTTCTGAAACTGAAGATAAATTTATATCAGAACAAAAGATAAACAACAATCATTTTCCTCTCATGATAACCAAGTTTCCAATGCCAAATCTAATTAAACAGTTATGTAACTGCTGGAAAACTGATGTACATTTATCATAGTCAGCTATCTAGAAATCTCTTATTTATTTGAAAATACAGTTTACAGCCTACACAAGCAGTATAGTGGTGGTATTCTACCAGTTTGCACCGGTTCTACCAAACTATAGCGCCAGTGAGCAGTTGCCCCCACCTACCACCCACCCCTGCCCTATCTTGTCCTATATTTCTCTGTTTTTTAGCTCAGCTGATTTGTGTGGCACAGCAGACTATCGCGTGGCAGCTCTTTTACTCAACAGTGCTGACATAGAAGATAGATTTTTGAGCTTAAAATGGGCGGGTTTGAATGCTGCGTGACCAAAGCACTCACTCACCAAATCGGTTGTTAAACCAGTTGAATCCCAGTACTGAAGCAGTACATTTATCAAAACATTTCATTGTTATTCTGTCCACCATGCTATGCTAACATTTTTTTCAATGTTAAACTTCTATGTGTTTAAATTATTCTGAAATAAAAAGGAACTTTCAGTAATTTACTTCAATGAGCTTTTAGAGTTGGGCTTCTTTGAAAATATGGGGCATCAAATTAGCATCCTAAAAATCACAACTTCATATATATTCAAGGGGCAAATATGGGGAAAGAGACAATGTTGGCAAAAGAGTAATACATCTGATCAATTTTACAGAGTTTTAAAAAATTGCAGAATATAGGCTCCATATCAGAGAAACAAAATTTGGCATTCTGAATGTAAAATATGCAAGTCTTTCTTTAATAAATAATTTCAAGCATGTTCTATCCATTTGTTGCTACCTAGATTTCAGTTTGTGGTAAAGGATTATTGCAAGACTTAAATACCAGCAAACACAAGAACACTCTTGAGAATACAATGGTACCCGAATTCATGCTTATACTAGCAGAATCTTTCATGCATTTTCTTTTTTGTGTAAGGTGACTTTTAAAAAAAAATCCAGATCAATCAAAAAACCCAGTTAATTAAAATTAACATTTTAATTATGTTTCATTGTTAAATTGTTTAGAAGTACTTTAAAATTCTTCTTGCCGTGGCAAATGTTCTAGAAAGTTTGTTTAGAGAATTGTATTAAGTACTTTCTTTGTATTTTTGCCTATTTCAAACAGAGCCAAAATGAGTGATTTGACAGTCCTTGTTTGCCATACCCATTTTTTCAGTGTGCTTTCTCCATTCAAGAAGCAATCATTGATCAATCCATCCACATAATGCTGATTCTAAGAAAATTGCACATTCTTTGTATAATGTAATTAAGGGTGTGACTGAAGCTACAGGAGCAATGAGGTCTTGATCTAAACTAATGGTCAGAGATAATCCATTTTGAAAATATTTTTGAAGATTTTTTATGTTTCTGGTTCACAGAGACCAGCCAGTGTTTACAAAACAGAATCCATGCAAGGTCTGCGAACAGAATGCAGTGTTTCCTGGAATTTCTTTGCGGACTTTTGTATAATCTCCTATGAGCTCTGTTTCATATCCACTATGTGAAAAAATTTGAAAGGGACATTTTAAGTTATGTTTGTAAATGGTTATGTTCTTGAAGTAAGGATTTCCTCCAAAAGATATGGAAAATATCTACATTGTTTTGTCTCTGCTCTACATAGCCCCTTTCTCTTTCTTTTTAATGTTTGATAACTTAGTTTGTATGAAAGAAAATGTTAAACAAAAGACAGCTGTAAACAAATGAAACATGTAAATATAAATTCAGGGTTTCTTTTAAGATTTTTTTTTGTCAAAGAATAAACATTACTTAATATGTAAGATACTGTATTACTTACCATTGTGTCTCTACTGTTTGTTGCAGTTCCAGTACATCTCCCAATGATTTTATCAATGCACTTTTTGTGAATAGCAGCATTACATTCTTCAAAATAACAGTAACAAAAGGTGCAAAAAATTAAATTTCATCTTTTTGGGAAAAAAAACCAGGGGAATTTAATAATCCCACAAATTATAATCAATTGACACTTTAAATCAATATTGCTATGTCACAAAACAGCAAATTATATTATTTTTTTCTTTTTCATTTAGTTTCTGCATTATAATTTTGTTTACCTTAATGGTAACAATATTTTTATTATTATTATGTGATTTTATCATGTACAATAAACTTATTTTTCAGATAGAGTTTAACCTTTTATAGCTTGCTTCAGTAAACTATTGTGAATATATCTCTCTAGTTTCTAAAATTTCAGTCAGCCTATCAGTATATATTAGCTAGTATTTATATTGAGCAAAACTGAAATTAATGATTGAAATTATTCACTGAAATAAATAAAAACAAAAACTGATGCAGCAAACTTACGTCTACATTTGTATCCTTGCTTATTTAGTCCCCTATAAGAGAAATAGACAGAAAAGAACAGTGAATAGAAGAAAAATTTCACATTTGAGTAGCAGAGACTAGTTGATTAGTTAGGATCATGTTTGTACAGTTTATTTCTTTCTAATTCATATTTGTATGCACTCTCCTCTAGAGGAGCAACATATTTCTTTTGAAGTGACATGCCTTCAATATGCTGATAAAAAACACTAATTTCACAACTCTCCTGGACCAGGACAATGATCAAAAACAAGAAAGTTCAGTTCAATAGAAAATGGTGAAGTAAGTGCACACTGAAATAAATGGTAAAAAATGAACTTTTAGTCCCAAATATAGGATGAAAGCACAAAGAATAATTACTGTCCTGTGTTCACTCTTCCCAAGTGCTGTTGCTTCTCTAAAAATATTTTTACCTATAACAGGGGTTGGCAACCTTAATCACTCAAAGAGCCACAAAAGTCCTAACCGGAAGCCCCCCCCCCTTCAATTCTGGAGCTGACCGGAAATCCGGTTCCCCCACCATAGAGTCTCCTCCTAGTGAGGCGTCCTATCCTAACCAAAAGCCCTATCAATTGTGGAGCCTACCAGCAACAGGGAGCCACAGCAGAGGGATGATAAAGCCACATTTGGCTCCACA